CCCGCAGGCTCAGGCAATCCACTTCCCTCAGCCTCCCAAAGGCACGGGACTACAGGCTGAGCCACCGAGCCTGGCTTGGGCAAGTTATTAATTCCTGAACCTCCCCTTCTCTCTTCTGGAAAGGTAGCCTATTTAGAAACAGTTTACAAGGTGGCATGTTGCAAAATGAAGTCTAGCAGAGTGTGACCTAGAATACCTACTGATGCCAGTGGCTCATGTCTGTAATCCTGGCACTTTGGGAGGCCAAGGTGAGAGGATTGCCTGAGTCCAGGAATTCAAGACCAGCCTGAGCAACATGGAAAGACCTTGTCTCTATGATAAGTCAAAAAATTAGCCAGGTGTGGTGGCATGCACTTGTGGTTCCAGCTACTTGGAAGGCTGAGGTGGAAGGAACACTTGAGTCTAGCAGGTCAAGGCTGTGGAGGCCGTAAGCATGCCACTGCCCTCCAGCCTGGGCAACAGAGTGAGAATCCAACTCAAACCAACCAACCAATCAACCTACTGGTAGTATTACTTCAGCTATACCTTACTGCAGTTACCTCACCTAAGAATTTGAGTGGAACTGCAGTTACCTCACCTAAATTCATTTGTTGGGAAAAAGCAAACACTATTTTTTTCTTTTGAATTTTATTTTTTTGAGTTGGAATCTCACTCTGTTGCCCAGACTGGAGTGCAGTGGCCAGGAGCAGCCTCGACCTGCTGAGCTCGGGCAATCCTTCCGCCCAGCCTTCCAAGTAGCTGGAACTACAGGCACGCGGTACCACACCCGGCTGATTTCTTGGTTTACTGTAGAGATGAGGTCTCGCCAAGTTGCCCGGGCAGGTCTCGAACCCACCGGCTCAGGCAATCCACTCACCTCAGCCTCCCAAAGCGCTGGGATTACAGGCTGAGCCACCGAGCCTGGCTTCTTTTGAGTTTTATTCTTACTGTTGCCCAGGTTGGAGTGCAGTGGCACTCTCATGGCTTCCAGTCTTGATCTGCTGGCTTCAGGCAATCCTTCTGCCTCAGTCTTCCAAGTAGCTGGAACCACATGGGTGCACCACCATGCCTGGCTAATTTTTTTATTTATTGTAGCAACGAGGTCTCACCACATTGCTCAGGCTGGTCTTCAAAACCCTGGGCTTGCCGGGCTTGGTGGCTCAGCCTGTAATCCCGTGCCTTTGGGAGGCTGAGGTGAGTGGATTGCCTGAGCCCATGGGTTTGAGACCC